GGAGGGTACCAAAAGAACTCAACAAAAACAAACAAAAAGATAAGATAAGATAAGATAAGATAATACTTCATTATCCCAGAGGGAAACAAAACAAGCAAAACAAAACAAACAAAAAACAAAAGACCCCCCCTCCCCAAAACAACAACAACAGACCTGAACCGTGTCTGATAGCCCTACTTTTTTAAAATCATCATCTAGTTACAATTTTAAAATCCACCTTTAAAATCACTAGGAATATATTAATTTGTTTTGTAAAATGTTTACATGTACTTAATTTAGTGAACCTTTTTTCTACGTTTTCTCCATTCTAGAATATCCAACAATGTCTAGCAAGGTTCCCTTTTAATTTATTTTCAATCTCACACATGCACGTACGTGTGTTAGCTGAGAGCACTACCTGTGATGTTTAATGTGAAACTTTCTAGTTCCCATCTTAAGAAAGAATATTTACTCGCTCTTTTACTTCTGTAGATATCTAAGTCGTAGCTTAATTAGGTTCAAAATCGTCAAAATTTCAATCTCGTTTTGCTCGAAACTAAGAAAAGTGGGTACAGTCACTTCTTGCACCCAGCCATCGATATAAGAAAATCCCAGATTGGATATGGTCGCTTTTAAGCTCAAGGGGGCTATCCCGGAAAACGCTGTTTTGAGAAAATCGAAGGTATGTTTTTTTACCCTTGTTCAGTTTCTCTAAAAGACAAGGAGAGTTTTTCTCTATAACCAAACAAATATACACACCAGTGAAACCAAACTTCTCCTAAAGGTAGGTCAACGCCCACTTTTGGTGTAGGTCGAGATTTCTGGAAACCCCTGAAATCTGGGTTAGCCTGCCTGTCCTTAAAAGCGGCCATATTATAATATAGTATTATTTGTCACTCTCTTACGTGGTAACATCATGATGTCTCTACTCTTGCTTCTGTTCTCCACCCTGTGTCCACTGGCGCAGTCTCCAATACTGAGTCGAGGTACAATGGACTGGAGCGTCTGTAATTATTGTCAAGAGGTACAATTTATTGCAATTAGAG